AAATTTCCATCATTATTATAATTTGTGTATAATGTTATATACTTTATGTACATAAATTTATATGTACATTATAATAAGTATATTTATATATATAAACATTATTATATACTTACTATAAATAAGAACGTTAATACAACAAAAGTATAAATAAACATTGAGAACCTATATACATACATACAATATATATGGTATATATATATATATATATATGAATGTGCATATAATTATAAATATATTATGTATACATATATATGTATTTTTTGTAAGTTCATATATATGTTTATAATGTATATTAATGGAGTTATACCTATATTTAAATTTATATATGTGTATATTTTTATTATTATTATTAAATTGAAAGTAAATATAAATAACATATATAAGTATGTATATATAAATGCGTGTATTATATATAAATGAATATAACGATATGTAGATTCTTAAATAATAAATTATAATTTTGTAATAACATACGATGTAATTTTAAATATATAATATGACCATATAATTAACATAATATACTATAGGTACATTAATTATATGAATCATATTATGATTGTATACCGTATGTAATATTTATATACAAAGCTTGTAGGAAAAACTCTATATATATGTATATATATATATTTTTAATATGATAACAAATTTATAAATAATATTTTTAAAACCATGTTATTACAGTATAAAAAACCTTACTATAAAATCATATTTCATGGCAATTTTAATATAATAATTAGAAAATGTAGTGTATATTTTTTTAATATGCGGACCGGGCCCCCCCCCCTATAAGTAATGTCCAATATATTTTAAAAATATTTTTCTCAAATAATCTGAAAATTTTTTAAAATGTCGGATAGAACATTTTCACAATACGCTATAGTCCGCTTAATATTACATGATAATGAAATATTGCATTATTTATTAAATTTCATTATACTTTATGAAATTTATTTTAACTATTTCTATATACATATATCATGTATACATACAAATCTATATGTATACACACATTCTATACATAAATATTATTTTGCTCTTTTCTATTGTTTTCCTTTTCTCTTTTTATTTTTTAATATTATTTTCAATATTAATCTTTTATGAAATATTATACAAGTTTGCATATTGCATATTACTATGAATATATATTTTTACTATATGTATAGATTTATGTACATACATACATGCATACGAACAGCATGCATGTGCTATTTTTTTTCTTTCTTATTTAGTTGCTTATTTTAAATTTTATATTATTTTTTTTCTACTTTACTGTGTTCTTCTTGTTTTTGTTTTCCTTCTATAATTATTTATGAATAACAAAATAAAAAAAAGGATGAAATTCGCCTTTAATTAGCCTGAAACATGCTTTATTACTTCACAATTTTTTTTTCTTTTTGTTCACTTTAACTTTAATTTTAAAATGCAAAAAAAAAAAAAAATATGTATAAAAAGAATATTATTATCTTTACATACATACATACATACATAATATGCATAATATATAATTTTTGTATAATATTAAAAAAAAAAAGCCATAAAGAGAATAATAATAAGAACAAGAAAAGAAGTTAAGTATAAAGTGAGCGAATATAAAAATTTTTTGTAATGAAGAAAAAAATAAGATAAACGTAAAAAGTGCAATAGTAGTGCAGAATTTCTGAAAAGTCATGCAAAAAAAAAAAATTACAACAATAATATTTATGCATATACACATGGTGTTTGTATGTATGTATGTATATGAATTTAGACTTTATATGCATTATTATGTATGTGTGTATGCATGTTGAATATAAAAATAAATTTTGTTCTTTTCTTATATACTACATAAATGTATGTATTTATATTTGTTTGTATATAAGAAAAGAGTAATATTAATGGTTTTCTTGTTTTTTTTTTCTGTACATTGCATATAAAAGGAAATTTATTTTCGTTATTCTTTGCATTTTCTAATAGTTTTGTTTTTTTTTTTGTTGATTCATTTTTAATTGTATCTAGGAGATTCAATTATTTATATATACAAAAATTCTTATATACATAAATATTTAAATTTTATATTATACTTAGTATAAATTTAAGTATCTATATATGATATTGTATGTATATAAGTGTATGTATATATATAACTATAAAGTTGTTTACATTATACTGTATATAATTGGATATTTATGTAAAATATACTTAGTTATATACATATAATTTTATACTATGTATATGAATAATGTAATGTACATGTATATACAACGGTATGTTTTATTACGATGTAATATTAAAAATTTCATTCATATATCTTTCTATATAATTTCATACATATATACATTTATTTAAATGTATATAAGATATAACAGGATTATATGTTTATGTTTTGACTATAATTTATGTATATATCATAACGTTACCTTATATTTCATGTATATATAAAGTGTTTCTATGCATATATATACGAGTATATATGTATACATTTTTGGAAATGATATTTATTTTCATAATAATCATATGAATGTTTGTTTTTATATGCTACCACTCATATGGTTTGGTTTTAACATTGTTTATGGGTACAATTATACACATGATATAATTTTAATGTAATTTAAATGTAATTTCATATTATAATTAGATGTATATTTATGTATGTATATGATTTTGTGTAAAAATGTAGATATATATAGTATTATAATTCAAATTAATATTAAAATAAATTTTATGTACATAATATATAGCAAAAAATAAATTTTCTTTTTTTTGTATATAAAATAATGTTTATAAAATTTTTTATATATTTTCTTTCATTTTTTTATTATTATTATTACATCGTACATAGTAACAAATATAGTTACAAAAATAATGTACATGTACTTTATATATATACATAATGTATATATTATGCCTAATAGAGTATATGTATGTATGTCAGGGTATGAAACTTGTATATTTTATGTAGAAATGTAAGTATATATAAAAATATAATATTGCAATATAGAAAGGGCGTTTTATAATAATATTAATATATTCTGAATGATTAATGTGACAGATAGTCGATGTAAAATTTAATTATATTATATATTTTTTTTTTGCTTTTTTTGTATTTTATTCTTTGCCTCCCCATATTACCTCCCCCTTCTCTTAATTTATTTTATTTTCTCTTTTTTTTTTTTTAATTTTTTTTTGTTTTTGCCGTTCACTCTAATTTTTTTTCTGTTTTTGTTTTCTTTCTTACGTCTTGCTCTTTATCTTCTACTTTATCAACGAATATTATGTTTATGTATACATATATGCATGACTGTATGTGTTTATGCATTATTTTTATTTCTTGTATTTCATAATATATCCTTCTTCTCTCTCATAGTGGATATTTTAGAATATTTTTATATCAACATACATTTGTATACATGTTATATATATGAGCAAAAGTAAATATGTAAATTGTATATATGTTGTATATTTACTTGGGCTTGAATTATATAAGTATATTATGTTGAGTTTGTAAAGTATATACGTTTATTATGCATATAAATATAGTATTACTATTACGATATTATAATAATAATTATATATATAATATTATACACATGTTATACACATTGTTGTATTTTATATATTGTATATTAACATATACATAATAATATATACCCGTATTATGTATTAAATATCCATATGTTATATGTAAATATAAAATAAATTAATGTTATATATGTATACATTATATACATATGTATGTACTATATATATTATATATAGTATAATGTATATATGAAAACATGTGTAATATTAATAATAATAATAATGAAAATAATGATATTAATGCATAAAATGTGATTATGTACATATACATAATATGTTATACTAATATATATACTATGTTTTTATATATGCATAATAGATATTATGTTACTTGTATACAATGTGCATGGTGATATATTAAATATAAATTGTTTTTATACAAGTACACTATTAGAGTTATATGTAAATTTATTAACATATATAGGTATTCATATTAATTTTCAATTTAAAAATATGTACATATGTATGTTTGTATGTAGGTCTAGGTACAATATATATATATAATTATAAGCTTTTTTTTGTAATATAATTACAATAATATCTCATGCATATTACATTATGTTTTTACATATGCAAATGATTATATGTAATATTATGTAGTTTGTATATATGTTTGTATATATTCTAATAAGGAATATAAATCTAATAAGAAAAGAGAATAATAATGGAATGGAACATAAAATTTTAATAACAATTTAAAAGCTGTCACTTTTTTTTTCTCTCCTTATTTTTTTTTGGATATCTTATTTTTATACAATATTTACGATGGTGTATATATGTATACAATGTAATATTAGTGTTTACAAAAATCGGTATATTCCGTATGTATAGATGATCGAGAAAAGGGAGTGAGAAGAGAGAAGGACAGAGGTTGGAGGTTCCTTTTAAGAAATAAATTAAATTAATTTTCGTATATATATATATATATATATATATATATATTTTACATTATGTGCGTATAATTTTTTTTTTTGAATATTTCTTTTTTTTTTTATTTTTTTTTTATTTATATCCTTGTTCTTGTCGTATATAATATATTTTTATATAAAATGATAATGATGTTGAATAATGTTTTTTTTTCAGATGAAATTTTTTTTTTGCTCTCTTATTTACAGACATATATTTTATGTAATACATACTCATTTATTTAAATATTTAATTTAAGTATATATAATGAGTATAAGTATTTACGTTAAAGTATATGCTGTGTTTATTTATAATATATATACATATATCAATATATATATTGTATATTTATTATACAAAATTTTATATAAAATAAAATATTATGTATATTATATATTTCACATATGTATAAAATTAATTTATTTTGACATAAAATTCATTATGTTTCAAGTATATATATATATAACAGAATATAAAATTATAGTATTTATATTTTTAAAATATAATATAATACAAGGTAATAATAATATACTCACATTTATTTTATATTATAATGTTGTAATATTTATTTTCTTCGCTATATATATAGTATATATAAATGAAAGATAAAATATATAGTATATAAATATAAATATTTTGTGTATTATATACACATTATTATCTATATATATATATATATATATTTTGGAGTTACATATGTTTAATGATGAAGTTTCATATACAAAATTTTATGCATATGTATGAGTGTGTATGTCCTTTAAGAATTTCAGTTTATTTTCCTTTTTTTTTTTTTTTGTTATTTTATACATATACATATATAATATGTATGTACCATATATTTTAATATATATATATATAAGTATTAACTATACACAACCGTTTTATATGTATGTATATTTTGTTTCTTTACTTTACTATTTAAAAAACATTGAAACAAAAAAAAAACAAGAAAATTAAACAAGAAAAACAAAAAATAAAAATAAAATCTTAAAAATAAAGAACGAGAAAATAACAAATTTTCATTAACAAAAATTTCCTTTTTTAGTACCAATTTGGGTTCATGGTTATTTTTTTGTATTCTCTTGTTTTTCTCTGATTTTTTTTTGTTATTATTGTTGTTGTTTCTGTTATATATATTCCTCGAGTTCGTGATTCTGGTTTTATTACTTCTTCTTCTAAAAAAAAAAAAAATTTTTTTTTTATATTATTTTGAGTGTGTGTTTGTGTTATTTTTTGTTATTTTTCTTTTCTTTTTGTTTTACAAAGGAATTAATATAATTAAATGAAAACAATTTAAATTTAATGAATATAATTTTTTATTTTTTTCATTTTTTTTTTTTTTGCATTTTCTTTCTCAGAAATTTTTATTATTATTCCTTTTTAAATTATGTACATTTATAATTAAATAAAATTTTTTTTTGAAGTTTAATTAATTAAAAATTTTATTTTTTTGTTTTTGTTATTTTTATAATATTTTAATTGGATTTATTATGATTCATAGTAAGAATCTCAATTTATTTATTTATTTATTTGTATGTATGTGTTTTGTTATTTATTTATTAACAATGTATTGTATATTATTTAATAATATTAACATGAATATAAAATTATTATTATTATTTATACTTATTGTTGTTATTATTGTTACAAATTATTGCACTTTATTTATAGTATTAGTAATTTTTAATTTTATTTTATTTTAATTTGTTATTTTGTAAACTAAATGAAAAGGAAATTATATTAATTTATTTTTATTCTTATTTTAAATTTGATATTAATTATTAAAAAAAAATTTAATTTTTTAATTGTTTTTCACTAAAATAATTGTATAAGAATTAGAGTGCATACATTCTTATAATGATCACCCAATTTATTGGTAAAATCTTTAATATTTTATTTAAAGAATAATATTTCTTAAAATTTATGATTAGTAATTACTTATTTTTAAATATGTAATATATTTCCAGAATGTACAAACATATAGCTAGTTGAATTTTTATAATAATTTATTAAACTAATTTAATTATTTTAATAATCTTCCAAATCCTAATTTCAAAACAAATTACCAAAATTGTGTTTATTCAACCGTAAACAATAATACGATATAAAAATAAATTTAATTAAATTAATTAAAATTTTTTAATTCAAATTTGAAGATTTCAACGTTATTAGAGTAAAAACAATTCTAAAAAAAAATTCCTTAATAAATTTAATTTGCATTTTTTTTTTTTGGTGTTGTGTTTACCAACGCTCGCGTTTTATTTAAAACTTTGGTATTTATTTAAGAATACAAAATAATTGATGAAACAATAAAAATAATTAAATTAAAATTTAAACATTAAAACATTTTTTTTTTTCAATTTTAATTTTTCACTCTTTTTTTTTTTTGTTAAGCCTAAACCAAAAAATATGAAAAAAAAAACCAAACAAATTTTAATTTTTGTTTTCTATTTTTTTTTTTCTTATTTTAAATTTAATTTTATCATATTTTCTTCAGCAACAATACACACCAATTCTTCCTTGACGAAGAATTTTCAAAACTGAAAATACCTTTGGTCGATAACAAGACGCAAACTGTAAGAATTGTAGAGGAAAAAAAGAATACGAAAAAAATAAAATTGGGAAATAAAAAAAAAGCAAAAAATATATATGAAAATGAAGGAAAAATAACAAAAAATAAAATATACGAGAAGCAAAAAAAGAAAAAAAAGGAACAACAAAATAAAAAATTTTTGTATATGAAAATGAAGGAAAAATAACAAAAAAAAAAATAAACGTATAAAAGTAGAAGTAAAGGAAGAGTAAACGAAAACGAAAACAAAACCAATTATTTTTTGTTGTTCTTTTCTCATTATTTTTTTTTTTTGATATTTTTTTTTTATTCCTTTTTCTTATTTTCTTTATTTTTGTATTTACTACTACCACACAATACTTGGATAATATTATTATTGAGTGTGAGAAAATATTATTCTCTTGTAGAGTGTAGTAAAGAAGAAATACGACGAGAGTCTTTTTTTTTTTTATTTTTTTGTATAATGGTTATAATAGAAAAAAAAAAATTATAAAAAGTTGCTTGATTAATATAGGGTTTCCAACGCTTAAATAACTAAATGTTCGCCAATTCGAGAGGCGATCAATAATATTTGTGACAACTTTCCGAAAACGATTTTCCGGCACACAATTTTGAAGAACATGATTTGTGTTTTATTATTTTAATAGCCAAATTAAAAAAAAAATTTTAAAATCTTCGAAACCATCTAACAAATATTGTTTTTTTCAATAGAAGTATTGAAGATGATTTTTAATCTCCAATATGACATCGAGCTGACTTTGATAACTTTATTAGTCAAAGAAATATTTTAAAATTTATAAAAATTTTATCTCTGAAGAATTTTATGATATTTAAAGGATATTTTAGAGAAAAGTATTAGATCAAAAGTTTCTTGTCTTATCATAGATTATGAGTAATTCAGAAAGTATGAAGCCATTATCTGGAATCACTTTTTCGATACAAAAGCCAAAATTAATATTTCTTTTGTATATGATTTCTGTCTTTAATTTTAGGGAATTCGGATCAATATTCTTTTCTCAATTTTCAATCAAATTAAACCCCTTTTTGGTTGTATTTTGTTTATATTTATATTATATACATTATATTATATATTTATATTCATACCTATCTTTATTCTAGCTTTATGGTCAGAAGCAAAGCTTAGGGTTGCATAAATTTGAAGCGAAATGAATGTAAATAGCAGCGTTATAATGATAAGAATCAATCATAATACAAATCAATCCAAATAATCATAATGAAACACTGTTTCTTGTTCTACTTATCAACAGATTTTAACTGTCAGATAAAACGCTGTGGCGGAAATCGAATTGATGGTTGCTATTAATTTGCTTCTCTAACAGTAAAAACGAAAATATTTACTTAAAAGCTCATGTGGGAATAATTGCTGACTATGTTGAAAATTCAAAATTCATTTCCATTTCGGATTATTTTTTATAGTCGGTAGCCTCATTTATATATATATAAAACAAGATGAATGTTTTATACACATCGTGCAATTAAAGTTGAAAAATACTCGTATGCATATACTATTCTGTATATGCATATTTTTCAACTTTAGTGTGCACACACATTACATGCTTTCGTTTTGTATATACCATAGTATCCAAGCATGCATATATCAAAAATCTTACTTGATATTATCAACGTGTAATTTTAATATACAAAAATACGTACATACATACATATATCCTTCTTATGTATGTAGAAAAAAATTGTAAAAAAGAAAATATATAGAGAATACAAACACATAACAAAAGCCAACAATCAGTCATATGTAGATACGCGAGTATTAAAGGTACAAAAAATTAACGAAATTATAGAGACTTTTTTGTAGTTGGTCGAGACGTTGCATTGTGTGGTTGTTTTTGTGTATGAATTTTGTTTTGGTTTTTCTCCCTTTTTCTCGAAAATAAGTTTATTCCGTTTTTTTTTTACCTTGTAATTTTTATTTTTATGAATATACAAAAATAACCTTTAAAATCTTCTCACTCTTTCTAAACTTGATTTTCATGGAATTCTTTATCTCATATGGAACCAAAAATTTCAGTTTGCCTCATTCTAATAAATATATGTATATACATATAATATGTAATTATAATATTTTCCCTAAAAATCCCCAAATGTACTTACTACTTACTCTCAAAAATAAATCTTGTAAAATACAATACAAACAAAGAATGTAAAATAAACAAAAATATTCTCTTCATATAAAAGAAAAAAGTGAGAATACAGAGCGTTTTATTCCGCATAACACATACAACTAAAACTTCATACAACTACTATTTTAAATGCAATATTGCAATAAGAATTGTACTTTCTATATTGCTTTTTGATACTATTAGTAAGTAAAAAGGCTATAGTAAGTAAGGCATTTGGTAATTTTAATGATTTTCTCTCACGATGGCACCAGTATTTTATTAGACACCAGAAGAATTTCATCGTGTAAAAGAAGTCTGGTGTTGTGCATATGACAATCATGAAAGTAGAAGAAACATTCAGCAGCAGCATCAGCTTCGAAATAACGAAATAAACAACAAAATACAATAAAATTATCGTATATGGTTATATTTGTTTTATATACAAACAATGAACGTATATATATAATATGTAAACACCGCATATTGGAACCAGATATAGAAGGGGAGGCTATGAATATGTAAAAAAGATTGTAAAGAAAAAAAAAATTATTTAGCTAATTGAAATAATTTAAGAAGTGTAATAAATCTTTTCTGCATTCGTTTATAATAATAATAACCAATACTGGATAATGGAAATTTAGCATATCCCTATGGGTCAAATGACACCAATATTTTAAAAGACCCAATTTTAGTAAATGTTTACTTCCTTTGTTTTTTAAAACAATAGTAAACTTAGCTTCCGTTTATGTTAACACTTCTTTTACTGTTTTTTCCTTTGCTTATCCTAAAAGTATACAATACATTGATATATGGATTATTGGTATATGAATAAACGTAATTTAAGTAATTTAAGAAAAAGTGATCCTTTACACACCAAATGCATTGGCTTGATCGTAATTTATTTTATTCTCTCATTACAAAGCAGATTATCGATTTCAGAAAATCATAAACAAAAATACATGATTGTCAAAACTAGTCTAAAGGTTGAATTAAAACTATTAAAACTGGTCTGAATTAAAGTTATCCAACTTTAATTGCAAAATACATAAATAGTTTTAAAAAGTTTGTGTGAGAACAGTTGATTGTACATAAAATTAATAGTATAAGCATTCACATACAGTGTTGGATCAGTTTATTTTGAGGCCTCGGCCAAATATTTCTTTTAATTCAGGTTTTCTATCAGTTGCATAACGAGTGAAAAATATTGGATTTTTTATAAGATCTTTTAAAACTGAAAGAAAAAATAATTGTTCCAGCTTCTAAAGTTCCTTTAATAAATTTTATTTAACGAAATACATTGGAACATGTTGTATGGATCAATATATCCTATAGGAAGCTTCTTAACGCATCGTTCATTATGTTTTATATTCATGTAGATGTAAACTTTATTACTTTGGTTATTTTTTTTCCTTAAAATTTATATCCCCCAAGTTTGAATTCTTTTTTATGGCATTTTTATTTTTTAATTTTTTATTTTTTCTTTCTACACACAATCATTCATCTAAGTACATTATATACATATACTAAGTTTTCGTATATAAAAAATATAATATGTAAACAAAATATATTTATAGTTACAAATATGTTATGTGCTTGTTCTTCTCTTATTACTTTTATAATATGATTTTTTTTTGTTTATTTTACTTTAATTATAATTTTCTCCCAAAAAAAAAAAAATTTATTACACAATACAATGAAATCCCCCAAAAAAAAAAGTACATAAAACAATATTAAAAAAAAATTAAAAAAAAAAACAAAAATACCCGCCGTCTCACCCACACATTTATTCTTTGTTCGTAAAATGAGTAACAAACGAATAATGATTTCCCCCTCCCCAAAATTTTAAAAAATTATACTTTATAATTTTTTATTTTTTTCATTTTGTTATCATATTATTTTAGATTTTAATGTTTTTAATGAGAAATTATTATTTTTAATATTGAAAATAAAAAAAAAAAAAGAAGAGCATTAAACTAACTAAATAAAAAAAAAATTACTAAGAAAACAAGTTAAAAAATTAAAGTTAAAAACTGAAAATTTATAAATCGAACAAAATTGAGAGAAAATTTTTGAACTGCCATTGAAAAATGCACATGTATAGAAAGAGAGAGAAAAGAAGAGAACGATAATAAAAGAGTAACATTCTTTACATCTCTACCTACATATATTAAAGTAAAGGTGTAGTATATACTGTAACGTATAGAGGGACTATGGGTACTCTAAAATTATATTAAAGAGAATTTAAAAATAAAAATTAAAAATATATTGAAGCCACGCAATGTTACCGCTGTACCGTATCGTTGTTGTATGTAAAGTTTACATAAGGTATGGGATGAGAAGTTATAATTTTCTTATGTTAAACATACATATTCACACATACATTGTACATAATGTGCAATGTGTATAAATTAGAAGAGATCTATCTAATATGTATGCATGAAAAATTATGTACTATATACGAATACATATTCATATGTATATGTATTGAGTAAAAGGCATATCATATATACTTTGTATTATACATGTGCATATGCAATATATACATATATGTATGTATGAATAATTACTCGGATCGGATATAAATATGTATGTATATAAATACTATGATATAAGTATATTCACAACTCACAATATGCAGCGATGATATTGATTGCAATCAAGATAATGATGGTGATGATTATAATGATTGTG